GGTAGATCCCAGCACTCCCTTTGCAGAGGAAACTCCTGCCTCCAAATCTGGTGAACGTTCAACCAGGAGTTTCTGAGCGGGAGGGAGGTGTCACCAGGCAGCCTGAGGAACGGCTATTGGCGGGAGGCGCAGCGGGGCACTCCCCAGGGCTATCTCTCTCGCTGGGGCAACCTCCTCCCAAAAAGCTTATAGTAGTAAGGCATGAAAAGCCCATCAATCTGCCCTTCAGGAAGCCCGGCCCCCAGGCGCTCTGCAGTGACCGACCGCGCTTCGACGCCAGGGCAAATAATTCTGGTATTAGTCAGAAATCACAGAATCACAGAATCTTCTAGGTTGGAAGGGACCTTAAAGATCATCTTGTCCAACCGTCAACCTAATTTTCACAAAAATAGACACCCACACAACAAACAAGGAGCATCATCACTAAACCAGACCTCCCAGCACTACATCAACCCGTCTTTTGAACACCTCCAGGGATGGGGCCTCAACCACCTCCCTGGGCAGCCCAGTCCAATGCCTGAGAACCCTTTCAGTGAAAAAATGTTTCCTAATATCCAGCCTGAACCTCCCCTGGTGCAACTTGAGGCCATTTCCTCTTGTCCTGTCACCTGTGACTTGAGAAAAGAGACCGACCCCCATCTCTCTACACCCTCCTTTCAGGGAGTTGTAGAGAGCAATAAGGTCTCCCTTCCGCCTCCTCTTCTCCAGGCTGAATAACCCCAGTTCCCTCAGCCTCTCCTCATAAGACTTATTCTCCAGACCCCTCACCATCTTTGTCGCCCTTCTCTGGACCCGCTCCAGCACCTCAATGTCTTTTTTATGGTAGGGGGCCCAAAACTGGACACAGCACTCAAGGTGAGGCCTCATCAGAAAATGAGCGATGGCAAACGTTTTGTAGCAGCCGGGAGCAGCGAGCCCTGCGCCAGCGGCGGCGGGGACAGGCTGGGTGTCACGGCGGGGTGGGGCCTGCAGAGAGGCTGCTGAATATTCATGGACAAGTAGGGGAGATAAGGCTGCTCTCCCACAGCTGGTGGCAGCAGATCTCCCCAGCGACACCCAGGGTGACACGGTGCCTCACCCCGATAGCGCCGCTCCACCCTGATACGGCGGCTCCCGAGGGAGGGCTGTCGCTTGCCACGGGCCTGTCACACCACGGGGCACGTTGGCGTCACCAGCGGCTGCACGTGCCACAGGGACATCACAACCTGTCACAGAGTGTCCCCCCCGTGTCGTCCAGCAAAACACCCAGGGACAGGACAGGCAGAGTCTGACTGTCACAGAGTGAATCCCGGGGTTCCACCGGGAGGTTGTGGGGTAACACCGCTGGAACCGGTGGTGGAATCCAGCCAGGAGAGGCACATTCCCCTTTTTCCAACTGGGATCCCTCCCCCAGATCATCTGACAGCTTGAAAATTCCTCGGGAGGACGGAGCAGAAGCACCACCCGCATCAATGCGAAGATTTGTTCAACGAGGAGTTATGTCAGCCCCTAAATTATTAAATAAAGAGCTGAATGAATCACTTGGGAACATAGCGTTCCTCTTGCGGAGTCTATTTTCTAGTTGTCTGGATCTCGTGTTTATTTTAGTCCCCAACAGTGTTTGTTTGAAGGGCACTAAGAAAATGTAACTCATGGCCGCGCCTCCCTGAAACTACAGAAATGAAACAGAAAACGGAGACAGTGACAGTATTTCTAGGAAGGCAGTATTTCTGGAGGGCTGGGAGGCTGCCTCCCCTTCAGCAACTCCTGCAATAAATGCCAAGTGAAAAAGGTCTTTTCTTTTGCCTGCTTTTGGCAGGCTGAGGTGTGAAATGGAAGCTGGGACCTGCCTTTCCCCAGAAGGTCCTGCGTTATCACTTCCAAGGTGCAGGATCCAAGGTCGACCGGGAGCTGCCGGAATCGCGCTGCTGCCCTTCGGCCTCCTGTTTGCAAAAGGGGTTGATGCTCTATTTATTTCACCTTAATTAATTTTTTTTTCCTGGCTAAGAGAGATCAGAGAGAGTAGGACAACTGAGGATGGTGAGAGTAGGACAACTGAGGATGGTGAGAGTAGCTCAGGTTTTGGGACGTTACTCTGGGGTACGATTTGAATGTGGGGATGGGGATTAAATGAGCAGAAACGGGAGAAAGTTCCCCAAAACGTTCAGCTGCTTCATGGATCTTTGTGTCAAGGAGCCACAACGGCATCTCGTGGTGGTGGGAGCATGAGTAAAAGAAAGTAAAAGAGGGAACTGAAAGAAGGTGATGTTAAGAACAGAATTAAAAAAGCCACATGAAAGGCCCCGGCGCCGTCACTCCCAGAGAGTGATGAGTTCTGCTGCCAGGTCCTCGGAGATAAGAGACACAACCAGCCCCTCTCCAGGATCCTGAGAAGGATCATCTGCCCCATCTCCTCCAACTCCAAAAGAATCTTGACTTCACAAGGTGCTCCTTGTGGAGGGGACCCGCAGCAGGTCCCCAACGTACCTTTCAGGTACGTTGGGGACCTGCTGCGGATCCCCTCCACTATTTTTTTTAACTAGAACCACCATCTGTGTTGGACAAAACTGCATTTTTCCACCAAGCACCACCCCAGGTATCCAAAACCTCTCTCTGAATGGTCAGTGGAACACAGCCCCTGCAAAGGAAGAACAGATTTAACCTCTCCGTTTTCCCTTTGAAGAGCAAGGCATGTTCTTAAAATGATCTTCTGTGCTGTAAACGAAGAGGAGCATGGACATAAAAAGCCAAAAAAAAATAATCATCAATCTCTTTCTTTGTGAAGTCATTTGCACACAATGCCCTCTCCCGGGGAGAGTGTGAGAAAAGAACAAACTGCACATAAACAGAGGCTCGTTATGTCAATTAACGCGCTCTGGGATGTGCTCTGACGAGGAACCGGGGCAGGATTAACCTCAGGAGGCTTCTGAGGGGCAAAAGAGGAGGCAGCAAAACCTCCCCCCAAATCAGAAATGCAGCTTAAAACCTGGTGTGAGCACCAGGAAACTCAGCAACAAGTCAGAAAGCGGCAGATAGAGGATATTCCCCATCATTAGGGAGCCTTCAGAGCAGGGCTGCCACCGAGGATGGGGCACAAGGAAGGGCTGGGCAGTGTCTGTCTGTCCTCCTCTGCCAGGACAGATGGCTGAAGGGCTTCTCCCACTTTGAAAACCTCTGGGGTTCTCAAAGGGATGGTCTCAGAAGGTCAACACAAATATTTCCTTGCAAATTTCATTTCAGAGCAGAATTTCTAAACACGAGCCACGACGCTCCACCTGTCACCAGGCTGGTTACTCTCCCAGGGCAAACTGGAAGCCTTAAATCCAAGAACATGTTGCTGTGTTAAAATTAGCACTTGCTAATTACACACTGGGAGAAGGGCTGTACACAGCCAGTATTTATCAATTTCCCATCTTTCTCTAAAAGTTGCTAATTTCATTCCCAATCAACTCCCCCTCTCTCCTCCCCCGATGACATAAACCAGCTGTCTGTTGTGAAACAGCTCCAGCCGAAGGGCCGACTCCTTCCCTCAGCCGAGGAGCTGAAATACAAAGTCAGAAACCCAAAACTGATGAATATTCCCAGTTCTGCTGAACTCCCTTGCGCTGAAAAACCACAACCTGCTTCCTCACAGCACACGCTGCTGTCTCCAGCACTTGAGATTTCTTTCCCCTCGGTAGTTGAAAGCCACTTGTCTCCACCACGGAACCACAAGAGAGATTGGTTCCCAGTCTGCTGATCAAGGCACACACTCAAAGGGAGCAGGGCTGTGTGTGGCACACGATGCCACCTTCCATCCCAGACAAACATCCCCATAAGGGGTTTAGAGACCAAACGTTTAGAAACTGAATAAACATGTTTAGAGACCAAATCTGCCCGGGAAGGGACGGGAGGAGCTGGATGGGGACACCGCGCCCTCTGCTGGAGAGCGGTGACACTGCACGGCAACAGCCACCGCACCCACGGCCTCAGAACCCTGGGTCTCAGGTCTCCTCAACTCCTCATCAGGCCAGGAATAAAAATGAGGAATTTTTCTGTACCTTTTAAGATTTTAAGATCACCCGTGTAATGATTTAGAGCTGTGAGCACTTTTTGCACATCCCCCCCTCCCCACCCCTTCCCCAGCCTTCCCGCTTTTCAGCGAGGTGGCGATGCCCATCCCACAGCGCTGGTAAAAACTCCTCATCCAGAGAATCATTTAGGTTGGAAAAAGGCCTTTAAGGTCATTGAGTCCAAGCACAAATATTACCAAGTTAAAAAAAATAAATAAAATAAATCAACACCACACCTCTGCCCCCACCCATCTCTCCAGGCAGCGTGTGAAGCAGCGGCATTTCTTTCCATTACAGCTTCACCAGTCCTGTCCCCGCCTGGATACCAGGGAAGGAAATTCAACCACAACACAGATTTCACAGATTTAATCTAAACGCACAGGATGAGAACTGCTGAGGCTCATCTGCTCTTGGATACAGGAATAAAGAGGCACGGGGGCAGTGTGGGAGCTCCAATCGCGCTCCAGCCACGCCGTGGCTTTACGCTGCCGGGGAAATCTTCATGCAAAGCCATTTCAAAACCAACAGATAAAAGAACAGCTTAAATGTTGTTCCCAACCCACATCCAGGAGGCAGAGAATGTTGGAAACCTTGGAATCCCCCATAAGTTTGTAACCCACATCCAGGAGGCAGAGAATGTTGGGAAACTTGGATTCCCCAACAAGTTTTTTTCAGAAAGTGTTACAGAGCTCACCACCAGGCAAGAAGCCAAGCTGGTGGCACCAAGCTCCCCCAGGCTGCACCTGTAGGGACAGGATGAGGCCAGGACAGAAGCTGGGACAGAGCCACCAGCAGTGACCTGTCCCAGCGGTGTGGGGACAGTTTATGGGTGTCACAAGGAGATGTGGCTTGTGCCACCTCACCCCCAACCGTGGAGAGCCCTGACTTTGAACCGAGCTGCACCACAAAGACCCAAGCGCACGCTCTGCAAAGCCAAGGGAGGGAGCAGGTAACTCAAAATACCGAACGACAAGTTGTAACCAAAACTTTAATCCCAAGGATCTCACAAAAGACATTTTACAAGTGACATGAAAATTCTTGTACAGTAAAGAAATGTTTAATTCATAACTTTGACAATGTACCATTAGACACTCAACACATCCACTCCAGTTGTCAGTTCTGCTGCGTATTTGGTCTGTTTGGAGGTTCTGGAATAGATGGTCCATCAGACAATCGGCTATTCCCAAAGTACTCTATAGTCAAACATGAAGTACAAAATTAACTGACCCTACGGCTAAAAAAATTTATATTTCACATAATATGAAGTAGCTCAGTTCCAGGTAATGAAGTCAAAACTAGAGCTTTGGATTAAATGACAGCTCAGTCATTTCCTTCACACACTGATGGCTCCATGTTCCTGCCTATTCCCTGGAACTGCGCTCCGGAGCACCCACACCTCGCTCTGCGGCCACCACAACCAACACCTTCCATGCACCCTCCTCCAACAGCTGGATCCCAGCAAAACACACCCCAGCACATCAAGACCAAACCCATTCTCCTATCTAGGCAAGACAAACTCATTATCGTTCCACACAAACAAAAAAAAATGATGTCTAATGGTACATTGTAAAGCCATTAATATTACAAATCATATGATCTGCTCAGAACCATATACAGATTCACATCTTTACATTTGCCACCTGTTACAAGATACAAGGAACAAAAGCAAGTTCAACAGCTAAAACATTTTAAAAATGCACCAAGCTTTATGAAGTTTCAAAACAAAACAATGTTCTGTACATACTCCTCCCGTCCTCAGCTCTGACTCCTGTACACAGCTCCTCCTCCTCACACTCCTACTTCCTCTCATTCGACCTGGAGCGACTGGAGAAGGAAGAGGAGAGGTGTTAGGATGAGGTGGCACCATCCAGGTGCCAAGAGCAGCAAGATATTTTGCTTTTAAACCCCCCACCCAACGCAGTCGATGACATTGAAACATTTTAAAAACACTCTTCATTTACTAAAAATGGGTATTTAATTCTTCAAGGTGAAGAACCTCATGATTCTCCACCACGACCCATTTCAGTATCACCAGGAGATGGAACAATCACACCCAAACCACAGCAGGACTGGAAGCTGCCTCTTACCTGCGAGACCTGGAGAAGGAACGAGAAGGCTTGTGATTCCTCTCCCGTGAGAGTGACCTCTCTCTTCTTCTGTCTCTGGAGAGGGACCTGGGAAAGATCACAAAGCAAGATGATTACGGTGTCAGAGCCTCATTAACCTAATGAGTTCAGCTTTGCTATCTGAAGAGCTTCCCTTCAGGAAGTCAAGGTTTTTAATTATTCAACCAGGGGAAACCTGTTAAAGATTATGGTATTAGCCTTCCTTTCAGGTAGGAATAATCAGCTTGAGCCACACAACACAGCTCAGTCGTGCTGTGACAGGCTCTACTCCTCTGCAGCACGTTGGAATAATCAGCTTGAGCCACACAACACAGCTTAGTCCTGCTGTGACTCTTCTGCAGCACGTTACATCTGCTCAGACTGTGCCTCCACTAACATGGTGTATCCCCCTGTACTTACACATCCTGTGCAGCAACGCAGCGCCCTACGCTACAGAACTGTAAAAAAATCCCATATGAAGTCTGGAAATGTCAAAAAACCCAACCCCAGACTGTGTCACACCACTGTGCCATCACCACACGACAGCAGGACAGGCTCACTAGGGTTCCTATCAGCTGTGCTGACTGGAGGAGAGAAGGAGAGTAACACAGATTTGGGTGAAAACTGGCAGGAACCTGGGGCAGCTGCAGAACTTAATAACTAATTATTTCCATTCTTAATAACCTTCAACCCCCAAATCTCCAATATCTGCATAAATACATTAACTCCAGGCAAGCAATATGACAGAAGCAACCCCCTTTCTCCCTTTTACCAAACTACAAAGCCTAACCTGAAGTTTATTCATGCACACAGACCAAAAGTTAAAGTTATTTTTCACTGAATTTCACTGAATTTTAGAGTTGGAAGGGACCATAGAGATCATCTAGTCCAACTCCCCTGCTGAAGCAGGATTGCCTAGAGCTTGTCAGAGCATGTTACTCAGGAGCATCCAGGCGGGTCTTGAAAATCTCCAAGGAAGGGGACTCCACACCCTCCCTGGGCAGCCTGTTCCAGGGCTCTGCCACCCTCACCGTGAAGAAGTTTCTCCTCATATTTGAGTGGAACCTCTTCTGTTCCAACTTGTGCCCGTTGCCCCTCGTCCTCTCACTGGGAACCACTGAGAAGAGTCTGGCTCCCTCCTCCTTCAACCCTCCCTTGAGATACTTGTAGGCATTGAGAAGGTCTCCCCTCAGCCTTCTCTTCTCCAGACTAAAGAGTCCCAGCTCTCTCAGTCTCTCCTCATAAGGGAGATGCTCCAATCCTTGAATCATCTTTGTTGCCCTTCGCTGGACTCTTTCCAGTAGTTAAGACGGCCTCCAACGTTTACATCCCCCACAAGACCTTCTGAGTTAACTATCAGCAAATTTTGGCTCGTTTCTTTTTAAACCTTCCAGACAAAGCAGTCCAGGCTGTAATAAGCCAGCACATACCTGCTGCGGCTCCGAGAAAAGCTTCTCCTTCGCGGTGATCTAGAACCAGAAAAAGAGATGTGAGGCTTTTTATCAATTCTTTCAGCATTAAACGGGGCGAGGCATTTCCCAACTTGTCAAACTCACTGTTGGGCCCAGGGAAGGTGCCAAGAATAACTGGCATCCATCATCCAGTACAAGGCATGGAAAGATTAGGCAGTAAAACAAAGCTCAGTGTGAACAGCAACGTTTCCAACCACGAATTGACTTTAAAACTAAGAATGCTTCATAGCAGAGTTGTCCAATGCAACACTTTTCCATTTCAACTAAATACACTGCCCAAGACACCACACCAAAGTCCCACAAGTGGTTCCAAAAAGGAAAAAAAAAATAAAAAAATAGAAAATAGCACAGACCAAATGTTTTGGAACCCATGCAAGCCAAAAAGGTCCATGACAAGACATAAGAGATACCAAGTGGAAAAAAAAAAAGTGAAAATGCGCTCAGTGTCAATATTGATAATGCCATTAAGTGCTACATTAGAACTGCATATCTGTGATTGTCATTTTTTAATGCCATCGAGTGTGTTTAGACTATTTTTCTTTAAAAAATAATAAAAAAATAAAAATAACCTTAGCTCGGCCCAGTTCATCCCAAAAAGTAATTGTTTTAAGTTTTGAAAACTGTTAGTAAAACCATTTAAAGGTGATAGGATTTTTTTTTCTGGCAAGGAAAAGCTAAGTTGGTTAGAGCTTTATTAAAAATTTAGTTTGGCATCTCACATGCAAATATACTGTTTTTTTACGTTATTCACAGTGTAAGAGCTTCCATATCACCCTTAAAAGTTTTCTCAAGCAACATATGTACGTTACCACTCAATTATGCACAGCCAGCCTTTGATTGAGAAAAGTAATTACTTATAAGCCGCTTACTCCTTATTTTAACCAGCAGTAAACTGTATAAGCAGGAAAAACTTACTAGTTTTTGGTTTCAACAAGCTAGAAATGGTGAGGTGAGGCTGCCGGACTGACTGCCAAGAAGAATTTGCTGAAAAGGTTTTGCCAGATGTTGCGTTGTATTTAGTTGGTTGGCGAAGGGGGTGTTGTGGATTTTTCCTGCTTTTTTGTTAGCCGAAGGCTGCTGCTGTAGTTGTTGTGAAGACACATTTGGTAAATAAACAGCTGAGCTGATTGGCCGGGAATGTGTGGGCGGTCGAGGTGGCTGCTGCCGATTTGGTTAAGGTTGGAGAGAAGGCTGAGAGAAAACAGCATGCTCGGGAACCAAAGGGCGGTGCAACCTGACGACTGGCCATGCCTGGGTCATGTGAAACGACACCAGCCAAGCTGAATGGGGCGCGCTGGTCACATGACGCTGAAAGGGCTAGTTGACTGGCTAATGCAGACTCAGAGGGTGGTGAGAAGAGACATGATGGTGACTCTGTAACGGGTTCATTTTTATTAATAGATGGACCAAAAAAGCATAAAAAAAATGAAAAACAAGCCATCAGTACAACCATCTATTAGCTAACAAATACTCCTACTGTGTTATCTTTTTTTTTTTTTTTTTTTTTTCAACAGCAAAAGGGTAAGCTCCACACCCTGCCCTCAGGACTTCACTCACCTGCAACAGGTAAATTCAGTCCTGCAAAAACCACGTTGCAGATTTAAACCTCCAGACACACTGGTCTGGGTCCAAGAACCTCTCAAGTTACCAAAAATCCTCCTAACTTTTAGAGCCGCGTTTGCAAACCTCAAAGTGACAGGGATCGTCACACGATGTTTTAATTCCAAACTAACACTAAAAGTGTAAAGATTCCAGATGTTTAGAGCAACTGTTACTCCACGTCTATTACTAAACAGCTGCCTACTTGGAAAGTATTTAAATTGTGCAAACAAAGCGGAGAAACACATCTGCATGGAAATGCTAAGCTGCTGTATGTCATGTTTTTGCCATTATGGAATAAAGGAAAGGGAACAGCCTAAGGAGAAGTACTGGGAAGAAAGGGAAAGTGTGACTAGAAGATGAGCAGATTTTAGGAGGAATGAGGATAAATCCAGGGTAGAGGGCGCTGACTACCAACTTGCACAGTGACCTAGGGACAAAAGCCAACATTCAACACAAGTTCACCTCGATTTTGTGGGGTTTTGGGGTTTTTTTGTTTGGGTTTGGTTTTTTTTTAGCATTTGCCATCTCCAAATTGTGATCAGATAGATGAATGTTATCCATCAACATGCTTTTAAAAAAGCCTGCTTCTAGGATGCTAAGTGGTAACACTGCCAACAGCTCTATGAGTGTACTTCAACCTCGGGTACCTGCGACGGGGAGGAGGACTTCTTCTGCGGTAGTCGTCTCGAGGACGCCTGCCCCAGGAGGGAGGTGGACCACGGTTCCGACTCCGTTTCTCACCGTTGGAGAGCTCCACTCTCACACGACACCCACAGAGGGTTCTGGGGAAAGAGATTAACATCATTAGTGTGTCCAAGGACAAGTCTGTGCAGAAAAAATCGAGAGGGAGAAGGAACAGGCAAGTGCAAAAACATTCTGTCAATACACGGTATTCAGAGTCCAAAGAAGTAGACTTCAGCATGATGGAGAAAAGCTCTGGCCTCCTCTGAAAGCTCTCCCTGCTGTTAAAGCTGGCAGAGGATGAACCAAGGAGACTCTCCCTGATCAGTTTTGTCTCTTTACAGTAACACCATCTCCAACTTAACAAGCCCCAAGAGGTCCAAGTCATATCCAACCTGGGAATCCAACTCTAAAATGTAAAATTAACCATCCCCAATGCTATTCCTGCACTATTAAGAAAGATTCCCCTTATACCACAGTACAAATAAATATTGCTTAACAAATGAGTCAACTTTTTCGCCAGTTGAAGCTTCCCAATTTAAACTGTATCACTGCCCACAATTTCTCTTATTTTCCTCAGGCAAACCAACCACGCAAGAAGCACATTTTTTACCTTCCATCTAGTTCTCTTACTGCATCAGCTGCATCTCGTGGATCTTCAAACTCCACAAAGGCAAACCCAGGAGGATTTCTCGCCACCCAGACGCTGCGCAGTGGTCCATAGTAGCCAAAAGCTCGCTCTAGCTCAGTTTTGTTGCCATTGTTTCCAAGGTTACCCACATAAACCTTGCAGTCCAGCGGACAAGAGTCACGATGCATCACTAGGACAAAAAAAAAAAAGCTCATGTATATTTCACAAACAGCAAGTGTTTATTCACTTACAAGGTAAGTAATTCTGTTGGTTGCTTTTCCCAGAAACTTCAATAGGGATATAATCTGCCAGGGGGGCGTGGGGTAGGTGGAAGGAGTAGTGTTTAAAGCCAAACACAAGAGCTAGCTGCTATATCGTAATCGTTTTTAAAATTCACTACTTCGGGGAGTTTCGTTTACTTTTAAGGCCCCCAACTTTGAAGGGGGAAGTTTCTCTGCGCCCTTCTCCCCCGCCCCTGGGTTACAGCGGGGGCCGGGCCTGCAGGGGGAGCGCTGGGCGGGAGAAGGGGCCCATTGTTCTCGGAGCGGGATTCGGGGGAGGCCGCACATGCCGGGGGAAGAAGCAGCAGCGCCATCTCCAGCAGAGGCCACGCCGGGAACGTTCGGGGAATCCCTCCGGAGAGTCTCCTAGGCCCTGCGTGAGGGACAAGCGCTCCCCCGGAGCGGGCGGGAAAGGCGCCACACCACCCCCGCGGCACCTCCCGCCCAGCCGCACCTCGCCTCACTGGCCATGGAGAAAAAGCGGCGAGCGGGCTCTTCAAAGCGATCCGTGGCCTACCCGCCTTCTCCCCGCCCGGCTTTCCTCAGCGTGGCGGCAGCCACCGCCCGTGGCCCAGCTTTACAAAATGGCGGCTGCTCTTTGTTTGCCGCCACCGGGCCCCACCGCTACCATCCGCCCTGCCGGGGACCGAGACCGCGGGTGCCGCCTCCCCCCCGCCCTCCGAGGTGAAGATCCTCACCGATGCTAAGAGGGAGGGCGCACGAAGGCAGCCCGCGCTTTAATTCGTAGCCGACTCGACCCTCAACGAGACTCCCGCTCCGCTTTTCCTCACTGGACAAAATGGCGGCAGCCGCCTCCCCCGCCCGCCCTTATATAGGGACGGCCCACTCTGACGTCACGCCAGCCTGCAGCAAATCAGAGGGCGCTGTTTCGCTGATTGACAGCTCGGCTCATCCCGCCGCCTCCGCGCGGGCCCAAACGGCAGCGAGCGGGTTTCTCCTCAGAGAGACAACGGCGGGAGCCCCCGGGGCCGCTCCTCTCGCCCAAAAATTCCGCTTTAGAGACCGATTATCGAGGGAAGGCTTCAGGTCCCTGAAACCAGGAAACGGCGACACACCCAGGAAGGTGGTTTTGCTGGCTAAAAGGAAAAAAAAGAAGGTTTTCTTTGCGTGTTGTGTCTCTCTGACCCGGTGGGAGGCATTCAGGCCGTGTTTTTTAAGCATCGTCCCCTCATCATTAGGGTTTTACACATCTGAAAGCTTCCATTGACTAATAACCGTTTGTCCCCGTGGGCAGAGGCTTCAAATAAATGTGTTGAGCAAGCCAGTTTTAAACCATAGTTTTTTGGTAAATTTTATATCTGGGCTTCCCTGTACTGAGGCACAAAAGAAGGAAGTGATATTTTTTCAGCCCTCAATAGAAAACGAGAGGCTTTGAACTGAGGAATTTTCCTTACAGAGGGTGTTGTTAGTGTCGACGTGCTTTACTAAACTCTCATTTAATTAGCAAGGACATATAACGCGAGTTTTAACACGAGTTAAAAAAATACCTTGCTCCAGAGTGGTTTCCTCAGGTAATAAACCTCTTGTTTTGCTTATTGGTAACGTGATAAACCCATCCAGGGTGACCCATCGCTGCAATAACTTCCCCAAAACCATATCTGTGGGCTGTGCTTAATCCAGACTTCACCTTTCTGACTTGGGTTGGACAAGACAAATTTATCTGGTGCAAGTATAATTAATAATACTTTAATATTATCTGTGATAAGGCATTTTGAGTACAAATTAAGGCACATGCACTGTGTTTCCCAAGCAGGAACTGCACAGAGGCTGGGGTGTCCTTGGTCTACTAGGTGGAAATGGGTGTTCTACTAGAATAATTCTACTAGAATTGTACCAGCAGGTAAAAAATATTATTGGAACTAAAAGACAACCAGCTGGTATAATTCATTAGAATTTTCCAAAATCTTTTGCAGCACTGCATTGCATTTTTTGGATGCAGTCCTGAGTAATGTGCTCTAGACAATCCTGCTTTAGCAGGGGAGTTGGACCAGATGATCTCTAGAGGTCCCTTCCAACAACTCCATGATTCCATGATGCCTCGTTATTTTTAAGAGCCTTTTCTTAATAAAATCCTCCCAAGGGTCAAAATTGGCCAAGGGAGGGAAAAACAACATGGATTTTGAAGTAACTGATGCTCCAAAGGGCCTTTATCATGTGTACAATTATCTGACACTTACCGGCTTTTAATTAAAGAAATTTAATGCATTGTAATCTAAATTAGCTGATGGTTAATTTCCTGGGGCAACCCAAATGAAACAATTGGAAACTGACTTGGGGCTGTTCAGCCCTTTCACGTTATGATTTCTCCGAGATGGTGATTTCCCGTCATCGCCTCCGGATCGGGGTTTGCAGCGGGAATTAGACCCTGCCTCCCATCACGTCCTGGGCGTTTGAAATGGGATTTGAAAATTGGCCAAGGGAGGGAAAAACAACATGGATTTTGAAGTAACTGATGCTCCAAAGGGCCTTTATCATGTGTACAATTATCTGACACTTACCGGCTTTTAATTAAAGAAATTTAATGCATTGTAATCTAAATTAGCTGATGGTTAATTTCCTGGGGCAACCCAAATGAAATAATTGGAAACTGACTTGGGGCTCTTCAGCACTTTCTCTTAATGATTTCTCAGAGATGGTGATTTTCCGTCATCGCCTCCGGATCGGGGTTTGCAGCTGGAACTAGACCCTGCCTCCCATCACATCCTGGGCATTTGAAATGGGATTTGAGCCTGGCAATAATGAGATGGGGTTATAAAGGAACGTCACCCTGACAAAAGACAAGGGTCAGAATAGAGGCAGACAAAAACCCAGCCTATTTCCCCAGCTGGTTTTAGGACAGCCCAACGTAAAACAGTAATTCGAAAGTCACCGTTTTGATTGTCCTCTGAGAAATGATACCCCGAAACAGCTCTGAGCAGCACTATATACGTGTGGGGGGGTATATAAATTTATATATAGATATGAAAGCTGCATTGTGTGACAGCACTTTCTTCCTTCTTCCAAGTTTTTACCACAGTGTTTGAAAAATCCTGCTGCGTTGCAACTCTCTGCCTTTTGCAGTAAGAAAATGCCATCTGTGTCCAATATTGATGAGATGTACTGAACTTTTACATGCATCTGAGCTTCCAGGGAAGAAAGGAGACAACCTTGACCCTACAAACCAGACCAAATCTGCTCTAACCAGGTGGGATAGACTGAAAGGGCACCTGATGCCTGCCCAGATATTTATGGGACCAGAATTGGGGACCAGACTGAGGAGAAAGAAGGTGTTATAGCCAAGATACTGTTGCTGTTTCTGATTGAAATCTCACATAAGAAAATGAACATATTCTACCCGTTATGGTTTGGCAGAAAGCTCAGCTCTGTGAGCCAAATTTAAGGGATACTTTGGGAGAAAGACAGTATTTACTGAAGGATATCTCTAACAGCAACAGGATCTTAGAGTTGCTCCGCAAGTGAACCTAGACATTAGAAAAAATCCTTATTTACTGGCATGATTCTATCTACAGAAAGGTCTTTTGCTAGGAAATGTGATTACAAGAACCCAACAGGAACTAGTCTGGGGGGACAGGCTATCTACACCGTCATACCCCAGCCAGCTGTGTGTCAAGTTCTGGTGGATTCAACCCATTTTCACATCCTGCCAATAGACTAATCTTGATGAAGGCTATTTTCTAAAGAAACAGTGACTTACACTTGCCTGATATTTAGATATGGTACAACCAGCTTGCGTAAGCTTATGCCCACCGTGACGGCTTTTCTGTTTACAGGGTACAAGTCCCCATATCTCTTACACAAAGATTCACAAAGATTCACAAAGATTCTACAGAGTTGGAAGGGACCTCTAGAGATCATCCAGTCCAACTCCCCTGCTAAGCAGGATTGCCCAGAGCACATCACTCAGGACTGCATCAAGGCTGGTCTTGAAAATCCCCAGAGAAGGGGACTCCACACCCTCCCTGGGCAGCCTGTTCCAGGGTTCTGTCACCCTCACCATAAAGAAGTTCTTCCTCATTTTTGAGTGGAACTTCCTATATTCCATCCCTTTTAAAATGTATGCATTTTTACACTGGGAAAGCTTTTAGCTGTGCCTCAGACCTTAAGCAAAGGGAGAGTGAAACAAGAAGCTGTAATTTATACATCACAGACCTAAACCCAGACACAGCACCCAGTGCAGGCCACGGCGTGTCCCAGACTGAAGCACTTTGGGATTAATGAGGAGGACATCCGTTTTCTTGAATGATATGTTACTTGGAGACTCCAAGTGCCTCAACCTTCATCCCCAGCTTTCCAGGTGAGAGCCTTGGTGGGATCCCACCTCCTTCTGCACCTTGTCCATCTGAGGGCCGGGTGCTGGTCACAACGCCAGCCCCTGTGCTGGGAGCCCCATGGCCTCTGCACGTTCTCAGGCCAACACACCTTGTGCTGTCACTGTAAAGAAAGGAGAAATCCAGACCAGCTCTTGGCCAATTCAGTACTTTAAGAAACTGTCCTGATCTGAGTGACGCCCAACTGATTTATCTTCTACTGCTGGGGAAAAAATGCACTTTTAGAAGACTCTAGTGTCTGAATTAGTGAAAATATTTACTTTACAGCCAGCTCTGGGGTGTGGGATTTGAGGTCTCTGTGTTTTCAAGCTCACTGGGTGCAGGGATGAGGAGGAGCAAGACCTGTGCACTTGACCAAGCTGCCAACAGGATTATTTCATACCACGAATGTCACATTCGATATAAATGAGAAAGTTTGCTGTGAAGCTCTCTCTGCCTTGATGGCTGGGATCCAGAGAACTCCTTACCCTGGAGCCAGAGCCCTGAGCCCTTCCCTTCCTCCCGAAGCCGCAGCGCTCACAGTGTCCCACACTGTCCCTGCTTGGAGGGGCCGGCTTCCTGGGACAGAGTGGGCTGGGGATAGTCCTGATAACAGGATCAATACTAGTTCTTTAGTGTAATTGGTAATTATTAGTCTTATCCTATTAAATCTATTTATATTTCAACCCTCGGGTTTCCTTGTTTTTCCCCAGTTCCCCTTCCTGGGTGGGGAGGGGTCATTGTGTGTGAGAATGGTTGTCTGAACAACAAGAAATTGTTATGGGTTTCTTAAACATTAACAAAACACCTTCTTGGTCCCACAGCCATTAGGGACTGGGCACCCCGTTTAGTATAAAGCCTGGGGTTTTAAAGTATAAAGATGTCGGATTCCCTGTAACCTCGGGCCCCCCCGGCTTCTCAGGCAGGATGTGGGGCTGCCCCACAACCAAACCCAGCTCTGGGCACCAGATGGCGGCGTTCCCCTCTCCAGGGCGGGCAGGCCCCATGGCCCTGGGGAACACCTCTCCTTTTATTCTGTTTTGTTTGTTTTTTTCCTCAGATTGCTCTCAGCAGACTTCTCCAGCCACCCTGTGATGCCCCTCAACAGGGATAAGCTTGGAGAGCCCAGTGGGTGTTCCAGGAGCAGCACAAGGGACTGGAAGCTTTGTCTTGGCTTCACCTGAATGTGGTTTACGCACAGAAAATACTACATTGGTTCATGCACAGAAAATACTACGTCTGGAGACTATTTGGGGAAGGAAAGAGTCAGGCCCAGGCTTGGCTCCAGGGCAGATTTTGCAGGACAATACACTTGTCCCTGCTTCTGTGTTCAGAGCCTCCGGTGCTTCTGGCTCGAAATCAAGAAAATGGAAAAATTCAGTGAGCCTGACTCACTGCTGCTCAACGTCAGTTTGAATTCCCTGGAAGAGGGGAGTTCTCTCCGGGATGATGCACTGCCTTAGTGGATGAGGTGCCAGGATTTAAAAACTGCCCACGCCGCCCTGGAACCGACCCCCCCTAAATGCATAGCACAAGACTGTCCCCACCAGCAATAAGAAGGTGACAGAGAAGAGCTATAAGCACCCAAATGGAGGAGAAGCCTGGAGCCTGCTGTCTAAGGAGCTGAATTTCACCTCCTTCAGATGGTCACGGAGGCGATGCTGCTGCTGGCTCCTTCCTCCTGGCCTGGAGGGCTAGTGGTGGTCCCCGTTGTCCCAGTGCTGCGGGTGTGGTGGTGCAAAAAAGCCTTGGTGGCCTCCGGGTGTGTTGGGAGGTGTCATTTCCTCTCATCTCTGCGAGAAGAGGCCAGGAAGGGAGAGCAGCCCTTCATTAGCAGCGCTTCACCAGCGGCGCAGGGGAACTATATTTACCATCCAAGTGTGGTCAAACAGTTTCCTCTCAACAGGGCGGTGTCTTTTCTTTCCACACACCGCGCTGAGCAGCTCGTACCAATTTTAGTCTGTTGGGCTAAGAGCAGCTATGGAAAAAAAAAAAATAATTTAAAAAAAAAAAACCAAAGTAGATTTTTAGTTTTGAGAAGCATGAAGCCCTTTGGGAGCCCACACTCCTGTTAGTGGTGAGTAAGAGGGAACAGCACATGGAAGAAATTCATCAGATCTGTCTCCATCTCCCTACAGATAGAGGATCCCTTTGATGCAGTACGGTCTTTGTCTAATTAAGTTTTAAAATCCCAGGCAAGAGGATCCCCCTTGCCCTAACGAGGCTATTTGCACATTTTCTTCGCTTTCTCTTCCCTCCCCCCAGTTCCTTCTTCCCCCTCAAAGGGGCCTCCAGGCTTTCTTTTTCCTTTTTCTCTCCTGCTTTTGCAACGAGCCATATTCCTTCCTCCCCCACCTGCCTCCCCGGGGAGAGGACTGGAAAGGAAAACAAAAGACTCACTCACTGGGAAACCGTAATTTTCCCAGCCCTCCTGGCTCACACCCTCCGCTGAAGAAGGCCATGGAACAGCAAAGGCACCCTCTGACGTGGAGTCGGGCCAGGAAAAGCCAGAGGGTGGGAGCAAAGGCTCTGAAGCCAAGGCTAAAACCCTTCCATGGCTCCAAGTCTGCTCGGAGGGAGGATCCAAGGTCACCCAGCTCCAGTCAGCTGGGTTTGCTGGTGACTTCCCTGGGAGAATGGGCTCTTTGGTGGCTCTACGCTGCCCAGGGCTCTTGCAGAGAGCTGAAAATATACCCACTACAAAAATCACCTGGGAGTGCTGCTCATGCAAGTTCTCCTGGTGACATTAGAATCATAGAATTGTAAAACCTGGGCTCTTTGGTGGCTCTACGCTGCCCAGGGCTCTTGCAGAGAGCTGAAAATATACCCACTACAAAAATCACCTGGGAGTGCTGCTCATACAAGTTCTCCTGGTGACATTAGAATTGTAGAACCACCTTGCAGATCATTGAGTCCAACCATCAACCCACCACTGACAAAAACCACCACTGACCCATGTCCTTCAGCACCACGTCTGCCCAGCTTTTAGATACCTCCAGGGATGGCGATTCCACCATGTCCCTGGGCAGCCTCTTACAAGGCTTAATAACCCTTTCACTGTAAAAATTTTTCCCAATATCCATCCTAAACTTCCTCTGGTGCAACAGAATCACAGAATCTTCTAGGTTGGAAGGGACCTTAAAGATCATCTTGTCCAACCGTCAACCTCACTGACAAAAATAGACACCCACACAACAAACAAGGAGCATCATCACTAAACCATCCCTCCCAGCACTACATCAACCCGTCTTTTGAACACCTCCAGGGATGGGGCCTCAACCACCTCCCTGGGCAGCCCATTCCAAGGGCTGAGAACCCTTTCAGTGAAAAATTTTTTCCTAATATCCAGCCTGAACCTCCCCTGGGGCAACTTGAGGCCGTTTCCTCTTGTCCCATCACCTGTTCCTTGGGAGAAGAGACCAACCCCCCCTGGCTACACCCTCCTTTCAGGTCTCCTCCCAATTAGCAATGTTCCCACCACAGTGAGAAGTATTAACTACTGTGTGTGGCTGTGGTATAAGCTGTGCCCTGAATGTATTTTATATTTTCTTTAGAAATATCGCAGACCATGGAAGCCAACCCCTGCCCAGCATCTCTTCCCTACGGCGCTGCTGGTGCCAGTAAGTCCACGCACCAGGTACTTCTCAAAGGTGTAACTTCAGCGTGATCTGCCCTCGCATACACCCCTCTGGGAGATATTGCAAAGTCACATCCAAGGTTATTTTGACTTCTTCTAAGTCCTAAGAAATAGCCAGTGGGAGAGCGTAGCCATGGCAATGCGGTTGGGCCATTAGGGAACGCTTCAAGTGGCCATTTACCGACCCCGTGTCAGCGTTTCCTGCAGCCCCTCGGATTAATGGGGCATTAGTTCTTCCGTTGGAGACGCCAATAACTGCATTCAGTGACAACCCATTATATATAATAGAGACTCGAAAAGTTCAAGGATGAATTAGAGCCAGATGTTTTGGACATGACTTTGGCCAATGCTTGTTAGTCCTTGAAGATGTAACCAAGAAACCTGGGTTTCTCAGGCGGATAATTCAGTGTAACGACGGCGTAACCGCTACCCTGGAAACCAAGATGAGACACGGGCCCCCTGTTTTACCAACATTTAACAAATGTCATCGTTAATTGGTGATAGGCTTTGTTCGCTTTAACGAGCGACACTCTCCTTAACAATTGGGACTCAGGTAATGAAATCAGGGAACGGTTATTTGATTGCTCTGAAATAGAGGGGCTCAAAATAAGCCGTGGGGAGGAGGATAATAAAGAGCAATTTGGTGTCCAGAGATGAGGTCGCTAATGGGGCCTGTCTCCATGAGGACAATGTGTTTGCGTTCACCTGAGCCTGGGCTGGAGGGGAAGGTATGGCTGTGCCTCCCTGAAAGGAATCAATAGCTCCTGATAACACCAACCAAATTATCTTTTCAATCCTTCCAGGGAATTTTTCCTTAGAGGTGACAAATATATTCATTTCCTTTCACTTAGGGAAACAGGAACTCTTAAATAGACTCCTGTTGCAGCCTAGTGGTCCGGCCACCTCCCGAGTATCCAAATTCTATTGAAATTACCTGGTTAGAGATCATAAAACGAGTAGGAAACCTCACACAGCAGCACCTCGCCTGGTTTCAAAGCATATCAGAACTCGGCTTTTTGCCTGAGCTACCACTTGCATTTTTATTTCTTAGCCAGTTGATAAGTCTTCTCTGTATCTCCCCAGTTTCTGAGATATAAAACAATTATGTTTATTGGAAAATCAATGGGTTTCAATGAAATTTGTCCTGAACATTAAAATCCAGAGGGATCTTATTTACCAGCTCCTCAGATTCTCTGTAACTGCCCCATTTTGTCTGATAACTGGCATTACAGAGTCCATCACTACCGTTGATTTAGATTCCTCCTACTCATCATTAGTGTCCGATCCATGGGTGTGCGGGGATGGCGAAGGAGGGAAATCCCTTTCCCATACCAGAGACTTATTTCCTGATCAAACGTCCGATCCATGGGTGTGTGGGGATGGCGAAGGAGAAAAATCTCTTTCCCATACCAGAGACTTATTTCCTGATCAAACCAGGAATAACAGGTTTGAATTTCCCTTTTTCCATCATCTTGGGGCAGAATTAGAATAAAAAGTTCTGAGGGAAGAGGAGAGCCAGCAAAGGAGTAAGATACTGTCCCTGAACTTGTGATCTTAGTCACAGCTGAACAGGACATTTCAGAATCCCAGATTTATTAATGCTGGAAACGGGGAGCTGTCTCATTTCGGTGACACGAGAGGAAGGGTCTTAGTCACAGAGTGCGACGGGGCTCGTTTCTATTGTTTCTGGGCAGGTATAAAAGGTGGTGAAAGGGAGTCGTTGTCATTGCAGCTGGAACGTCACGGGAGGACGGGCAACGAGACACATCTGTGCAGAGCAGAACTTCTCCGGGATCTACGGGATCATCCGTAAGTAGATAATGTTACTGTTGGAACTGGAAGATGCTTTTTGATTAATATATACTTTATTGTTGATCACAATAGGAAAGTATAGATTATTCATTAGGTACGAGCAGTTCTACACTAGCATAACCTCAAATATCACACATATATATATATTTAATACAAAAGGTTTTAAATTGGAACCAGTACCTATTTGTTCTTTCAGGTCTAGTTTAATTTGAACATATTGTCCAAGGAAATTACTCACGAATCAGTGGAGACTTTATTAAGAACAAGCTTAATTTTATACAACCAAATGTATAATTTGCCTTTCAGTCGTTAACAACTGAATATTCAAGTCAGTATAAAGAAAAGTCAATGAGATGCTGAGTTTTTTATTAACCCAAACTGCTTCTGCACAAAAAGAAGTATTTATTCAAAAAATTAGTAGCCTCATTAGATGGGTGCATAGCTTTACTATTCTTAAATAACAATGTAAATCCTGCAACTTTTGGTTTGTTGTCCATCCAGGTTTTGATGTAACAATTAATAGAGGATTTGCTGGTAAATGACTGAAGGGACAGGCTGGAGCCAATCCTAAAAGCAGGGTACAGTTATTAGTGTAAAAAAAAATGAAGAGATTTTAAGGATAAACCCGGCATTAAAGGGTTCAGTGGCCTCGAAATGATGGGTATATAGAGGCACAGCAATGCCAGGAGCAGCTATAGAGCTGAATTTAGATGAAAATAATCGTTGCACAATTACATTTTCTAGTTGTTCCTCCCGAAGCCAGAAATCCACTTTCATTTTTTACAGAAAAGAGTTCTTCCCCACATCTCAGCTCCATCTCCCCTCTTTCAGGGTCAAACCCTTCCCCCTCCTCCTAGGGCTCCCCTCCCTGATCCAGAGTCCCTCCCCATCTCTCCTGGAGCCCCTTGAGGGACTGGAGTAGTGAAATTTTTACTAGTGCCTATTTTTATATATTAATGAAGAAACATTAAATAACTGAGGTTTTTTACCTGCTCAGAAAGTCTTACTGTAACTCACAAGGGAACAAATCATAATGAAATTAAATCAGTCCACCTCTAGTAATTATTAAAGTTTGTTGGGTTGAAGTTAAAGGCTTGTGAAAAAGGTTGTATTATTAAGGGTCTGAACCCCAGGGCTGTGAACACCTTTTAACTTGATCTGCACAGTCCTGTCATAAACTCTTTTGTGTTGTGACAAGTTTCTTAGGCAGAAATCCTCATCTTTTTGTTAAATTTCTGCTAAAGTTTTTTATCAGGAAGGTCTTTTGCCATTTCTAAATTAAATAATCTTCAGTGCTTGCAAATGCATGAGTGGGAAGAAGGTAATAGTGGAAAAGGTTATTAGGACCCAATCATAATGAAATTAAATCAGTCCACCTCTAGTAATTATTAAAGTTTGTTGGGTTGAAGTTAAAGGCTTGTGAAAAAGGTTGTATTATTAAGGGTCTGAACCCCAGGGCTGTGAACACCTTTTAACTTGATCTGCACAGTCCTGTCATAAACTCTTTTGTGTTGTGACAAGTTTCTTAGGCAGAAATCCTCATCTTTTTGTTAAATTTCTGCTAAAGTTTTTTATCAGGAAGGTCTTTTGCCATTTCTAAATTAAATAATCTTCAGTGCTTGCAAATGCATGAGTGGGAAGAAGGTAATAGTGGAAAAGGTTATTAGGACTCTTAGCAAAGAAATGTAGAAATATGTTATTAAATCTATTCAGCTTTTACTGGTGTATGTTAGAAATCCACGTGGTTGATGCTCTGGGAGTTCCTGGGATGATGTACCATAGTACAACGTTCTGCTTTTACCAGTGCTTAAAGGCTGAAATTCATTTTATCAGGTGAAAGAAAGAACAGAGGAAAAAAAATAATAATTTTTTTGATCATACTGTCAGCACCTCGTCCCGTGGAGCAGCTTCAAAGAAGAGAGAAAATGTTCCTGCCCCAGAGATCTCTGCAGATGGTTACGTTTTTGGCAATTCTTTTTTTTGCCTGTTTTGCAACATGTCAAGACACTGAAAAGTAAGCAATGTCATCCTTTTACCTACTATCCTTAGCTTGCCTTTGATGTGAGGGGCTGTGCCCTCCGCTGCTGGCAGTTACTCCAGGGCACGGGGGAAGGAAAATTCTATACATTTGATACGGCAACATTTAAATTGCCCTTTATGGAGTATAAAATTAGACCAATTGCATTTTTAGATGTATAACGTACACCACATTTCAGCTGATGCTCTTAAACACAGCGCAGGGAACCATGTAAGGATGTTCAACGCAAACCATGGAAATGGCACATACTAAAATTCCATATTTAGGTTCCCATTCAGATCCAAATTTGCAGAGGGAGCCTTGAGCTGCAGTCATCTGCTATCTGAAATCCAGAAATATTTGCATCCTGGAATTAGCCCACCCTCCCCAGTCATATTTGGCTTAAATTTTTTGATTTATCTGAAGAAAATAAGGGTTTGTTTTCATTTCCTGGTCACCACTGATTTCAGTTAAATTACTCCTGACTTAGAGCACTGGAAGGAAAGAAACAAACCCAAAAATCCTAGAACACTAAGGGTATGAAATCAGCAGCCTGGCCTCGGGGCTGTCCTCCATCCACATGGGGTGGAGACACCTCTGATGCTCCTTCCCCAGCTCAGAGAAGCATCTAAGATTGATGGATGCAAATCAGCTGGGATCCAGCTGCGCTTGGTTCCTAATTAACTCTCTCTTCCCCCGCAGCAAGAGAGCGGTGACGGAGCATCAGCTCATGCATGACAAAGGGAGGGCTTTTCAAGGGCTGAAACGCCTGATGTGGCTGCACAACGCCCTGGGCAGCGTGCACACAGCCAGCAGCAGGGATATTTCCCTCTCAAACGCCATGTGGGATTCGCAGAAGAGCCAAGATCCCTCAGATCCCATCGGCGGAGACGAGACTTCAAGCCTGATGAAGCAGCTGCTGGACCTGCCCGAGAAAGACCAGGGTTTCCCTCCGTTAAAGCCGCTGGATTCACTGCAGAACACAAAGAGCCCAAAGGGCAACTGGAACCCACAAGACCTTTTCAACCTCCTTCAAATCCAAGAGCTGGGCAGCAAGAGGAATCCCAGCGCCCTGCCGCAGAACATCTCCCACTAACCCCAACCCAGCTCAGTCCACCCCTTGCTTTAGACACGTCACCTGGTAAGGAAAAGCTCTGGTGCAAAAGTGAACCTGCAGAAGAAAAATAAGGTCCATTTATTCCATTAACTACTCCTCCATGTTGAATGGAGCCCCTTGTGAGGCCCCGGGTCCTCTCCCGTGGGCAGCGTGTACTGCGACCGGGAGACGGGCTCCTTTGTCATTGGCCACAACCTTCTCCCCATGGCAGGGCCCTCCCTGGTACCGTGGGGCTCTGGCAGCTCTTGGTAGCTCCCACAGCCCACGTGCAGCAGGAAGTTTGGCTCATTAATCCCCATATTCACAGCCTCATGTTTTGACTCACAAAGAAGCTGTTTCCTCCTCACACAGATTATCTTACTTCACACCTGCCCTGCTCCGCAGCACTAATGACTTTCCTTGTACTTTAGGTCCAAAGGTTTGGTTTTTCCTCCTTCTCCAACAGATGGAAGGTTTTAAGCCTCTCGTCTCTCAGGTTTTCTTTCAGGGTGGCAAACTTTTGTCAGGCCACGGAGGTAGAAGTTGGCAGTGACCCCCACCCTCCCAGACAAAGCCCCAGCTGCGCTGGTGGAGGAGATGAGAAGCAGCTTCCAGGGTCCCTGTTTGAGCCTTTTGTTTCAAGATTTCTCTTTGTTTGGGTGAAATCCCCCCAAAAGCTCCCAGAGCACATCAAGTTTTGTCAGCAGAAAGAGGCAGCACAAGATTCTGCTCTTCACCTTTAATGTCAAACTGACCGGCTCTGCCGAAGCAAAGCAAGGTCCAGTTTAATTGCAAAATTAAGTCTTTCAGAAATTAAATGTCATGTGTGTTACAAATACATCAGCATTTCCATCATGCACACGCCATCTTAAATCCCGAATTCCTCTGTTGCTCATAGACTTCAGCTGCACGTGCAGAAGATATTTCTCGGTGGTTAAAACCCAAGAACACCTTGATGTTGTTAACAATAAAAACCCTTTTCGCCCTCTGAATTGCGCTCGCTTTTTTCGGTAGAAATGTAAATAAATGAAGCAAAATCTTCTTTTTGCTGGTATCTACCCATCTGGGATGAGTATGGAATCTTGTTTCTTTCCTCACGCTGTTCCTCAGAGCTCCCCGTTAGAGTCTCAGGACCAGTCAGACCATTTGTGACCCTGATGGCTTCAGCCAACCCTGAGGAGAAGAGGTTGGGATGTGAACGGGTCACGCTGCCCAAGCCAGGCGTTTGCTGGGACAGGGGACCCCTTTCTCCCCCAAACCCATCTCCAGGCTGTGCCAGACCTCAGAGCTGGGGGACAAACCCCAGGGGACCTGACAGTGACAGGCTCAAACCTCTCAGAACCCGCTGCGGATCAGTCTGCACATGGATGTGGCCTCCTCCTGCCCCGAGGGCCCCTTTCCAGAGCCCTGGCAGGCTGAGGTGCCCTCGGTGGGACCTGTCCCTGGGCACACCTCACCCCTGGGCTCACCCCACGGCGACCCAGTGCATCCGTACCCTGTGGGGATGGGGGAAAGACCAACCTGCCTTCCCCCAAGGGCTGGATGGGGAGCTAAGGGGGGATGAGCCCCAAGAGCTGGTCCCTCATGGCCCAATGAAGAAGTCCCAGGAGATAGGACAAGGGGAAATGACCTCAAGTTGCACCAGGGGAGGTTTAGATTGGATATTAGGAAACATTTCTTCACGGAAAGGGTTCTCCAGCGTTGGAATGGGCTGCCCAGGGAAGGGGTTGAGGCACCATCCCTAGAAGTGTTCAAAAGACGGGTTGACATAGAATCACAGAATGGTTAGAGTTGGAAGGGACCTTAAAGATCATCGAGTTCCAACCCCCTGCCCTGGGCAGGGACACCTCCCACCAGAGCAGGTTGCTCCAAGCCCCCTCCAACCTGGCCTTGAACCCCTCCAGGGATGGGGCAGCCACAGCTTCTCTGGGCAACCTGGGCCAGGCTCTCACCACCCTCAGAGTAAAAAATGTCTTCCTGAGATCTAATCTAAATCTCTTCTCTTCCAATTTAAAACCATTACCCCTTGTCCTGTCACTGCCTGACAAGGTCCTCGAGGACCTGACCCAACATGGTCCTCAAGAAGATTTTCAATTTAAAACCGTCGCCCCTTGTCCTGTCACTGCACTTCCAGACAAGGTCCTTGAGGACCTGACCCGACATGGTCCTCAAGAAGATGGTTTAGTGATTTATTTATTTTTTAATTGCTTATTTCATTTCTTGTCAGGGTTGTGTTGACGGTTGGACTAGATGATCTTTAAGGTCCCTTCCAACCTAGACGATTCCATGATTCTAAGGGCTAATTTCAATTAAAGTGGGTGGGCGTCGTCGTCGTCCCCCCCCAGGCCTGCCCCAGCTCCCCTGAGGGCCGCCCGCACCGCGCATGCGCCAGGCTCCC